AAATATAGAGGAGAGAGAGAGAGAGAGAGGTGGTGTGCCTCTCTTTGGTTAAGAGAGAGATGTGAGAGAAAGAGAGATCCCCTAATATGGTGCGAGAGAGAGAGAGAGAGATCCCCCAATTTTGGTGCATGAGGGAGAGAGAGATCCCTTTGAGAGAGAAAAAATCTTGTGATGGATCTCAAATAATTTCAAGCTTGGTCTTTAAATAGAAGGAAATCTAGAAGAAAACCTATCTTCTAGTTTGAATACGATTTGACTTATCTCATTTCTAGCTAAATTGTTTAGGGTAAATAGGAAATCTGTGAGGTGAGAGATTAATTAGAGCCATCCATGTCAAAAATCAACCATCATGATTATGGGTGGAAAGATTAGGAACTTTATCCCCTTACACTTTGACCCAATCCACTCCTATTTAAAATAAATCCAATCAAATTTAAACTTTGTCGTTTTTAAATTCGAAATCAAACTTAAATATTTTTTAGATAAATATTATCCTGATTTCCTACAATATTGGGAAACCATATCTCATCTGATTTTCCCATATTTAGATTTATCAAGTTTAAATTTGATTTTAGAATAAGGGGGCGTCCCCTTTCGTCCCAAAAAAAATGGTGTGGGGGATTGTGCCACAAAAAGTGGCATGCCCTCCTTTCTCCCATTAACAAAAAAAGTGGTCCTCCTTTTTAGTATATATATATATATATATATATATATATAACTTTTATAAGTGGTGTGCTCCTTTCGCCACAAAAAGTGGCGTGCCACTTTTGCTTTACAAAAAAATAGGGTGTGGTCCCTAGGTTGCAAGTGGTCCCACATGTGGGGCTGGATCCTTGGTCTCAAATGTGTGATATAAAGTTATGAAGTTTTAGAAATACCCTTTTAAGAAAATTTACAGCAGAAGTAATGTTTTAAAATTCTAGAAAAAACTTAAAAATCAATGAAATATTTATAATACCGAAATAAAATATTCTAGGAGTAGAATGGTACCAATGGGTCAAAATAAGCGACAATAAGAGCACTCCACTTGCCCTAGAAACCATGATTCATAACTGTTCTCTTATCCAACCCAGCAAAGTCCTATGATCCACATTCTCTTCGCAGGGGCTCATGATTGGCTTGTTAAAGTGTGATAATAAATAGTGGGACCATGATCTTAGAATGTGGATTGCAGTTCTCCCCTTTATGTGCAAGTCTAGCACTTGTCACTACAGTGCAAAGGAGGCTCTCTCAATTCACATGTACACGTGTCCCTTCTAGAAACGGCTGCTTCCCATGCGATTGTCATGTGTACATGTCATGTGAAAGTTTGTTGAGGATTGGGCCCTTGCTCTCACAGACTTACAACCACACAGTTCTCCTGGCCTAAAAACATGATCTCTGGGTATCTCTTTGACCTTAACAAGGGATGCTCCTAGGCTACGAACATGATCCTTGGGATTCTCTCCGACGATAATAAGGGATGACCCACTGCAAACGTTCTCGGTAGTGCCACATGCCCAAGGCCAAGGGTTTTGGACATGACTTCGGCCATAAACTGCCCAACCCTTGGTCAGTCAACATACACTCCAATTGAAGTGCATATTCCACTATAAATATCATCTTTACAAAGCTCTCTAGGCCTGTAAAGGCCACAAAATCCCAACACTCTCCTGAAATTATAAAATAAGTAAATGAAATAGAAATTCTCATTCTTTGTTAAATGCAGTTTTGAAAATTGAGTTATTCAATTTTAAATCAATTTCTGATATTTAAAAATGAATTGGACATAAAACACCACAGGGTATCTTAGTGCCCATCATATATCAAACAATAGTACATTAGTACCCACAACATCTACCACAAACTATTAAATTTGAAGTGAATTTTTTTTAATAATATTTATGCTTATTATGGAATTTGAGTATAAGGATAGAAATTAGAAGACAAAGAAAATAAAAAAATTCAAATATTCCTAAAATTTAAAACCTTGAATTTAATGACATGCTACAACTTCAAATTCTCTCTCCCAATCATTCATGGCTCCTAATTTTCTTGCAAAAGCATAGTCCAAGTCTCCAAGATGGTTTAAGGTCTCGTGCTTTTCAACGTTGGTGAAATTGTAGCTATTAGATGACTTGTTCCTTGATTGTGCCTCAATCAAAGTCTTGGTATCATTAGATTTACCTTGTTTGATCAATATGTTGTTTTTTTTTCAGAATCCAAAGCCAACAAGTGGCCATGAATTTCGTTCACCATTAACCCACTCCTTGCAATATACAAAAGTTCATAGGTCTGCCTTTGACCAACTTTCCACATAAATGGTTCTTATACATTATTAGTGAAATTAGTCATTGCAAAAAGAAAGCTAATATGTTGTATGTGCTCCTCATAGTTATTGTGAGGGCGCAATGAGAAAATGTGCTTCAAACTATGATCGAATATTGGATATGTGAGCTTCGAGCTCTTAGGGTGCTGCATGCTCTCATGTTTTATTGAAATGCCCTTTCAACATTGGAGGGTACATTGAAAGTGGATAGCAAACCAATATGCATTGTCTTTCATGAATCTTTTGATGAAGAAAGCTATGCATCTTATAGCTCCAAAACAAGTCGAATGTGATGTGTACATTAAGCCCCTGCAGAACCATTTGCTTTGACACACAGTTCAATAAAACCCTCTCAACATTAGGATCTATCAGAAGTGAGAAATGGTTACTTGCTTTGTGCTGAGGGTGATGAATTCGTTAAGTACTTAACATCGATACCCGCAAGGCTCATGCAAAAAGTTGACTATCTTGGTAGACACCTACCTACAAAAGACATTATGGGTATCTTGGTAGACACCTACTTGAAAAAGGCAATACTGTAAAACTTTGCTAAAAAAAACAATAATTAAAGAAATTTGCGTTTGAATCCTGATTATATGTTATTAGAACTTGATTAGATGTTGATTGAAACATTTTTTAGTGTATTTATGAACCATGCCTTTTGCCTATATGGAACTAGCTTCCAAACAACATGAATTCATGATTCCTAAAAATTGGGAAAAATGTCTCGTATAAGTTGAATCGCAATGTTTGCAACTACGAATCACAAATTCTAGGATATGGAATCCAGATTCCAAGCTTCCAAGAATCGAGATTCAAATAATAATCCAGAACGGGTTTCAAGTATTTCGGAAATGTGATTTCTATCTTCCAAAATCATGTTTCATCATTTGAAACGGTGAATCGCGATTTTGAACCAAAATTGAGACCTTTGGACACGATTCGGGTAACTATAGCTCGACCCACACATTAGGCGCCCCTCATGGGCCATGACGTGGGCCTCAGTAGGCCCGCATGTCCAACCCCAGTGGTAGGGACAACTCACGATATTTTGTGCTTTGTTAAGGACTAAAAACTTAAGGAATATCTTTAATATAGGTTTAATTGGTTATGAGAGTATTTGACTTTGAAAATTAGTTGGAATTAGACCTTATACTTCAACTTTGAATTTCTAATGAAATTAGAGTATTTCTATGAGAGAACAAGAGTCCTGAATTTGTGGGACTACAGAAGGTCTAATTCTAGTCTCGGTAGAAGTAGATGTGGGTCATGGATTTGATGGATAATGGTTCTAGGATTCCTCATTGATTGTAATAGCTGATCTAAGGAATTGATGGCTCAGATTTAATTCTCTCTTTAACTGATAGATTACCTAAAACTTCTTGGTCAAATTTGAGTCCCACTAGAAGTTGGCATACCCTAGGCCCTGAGGCCCAATATAAAGAGGGGAACCTGTTTTATTCCCACCATATGTTCTTGCGGAACCCTCTCTCTCCTCTCTCTATAGTCCACACCACTCTCTTTCTTTCTATCTCGCCTCTTCTCTCTTGGGATAGGTGACGCTACACCTAGTAAGGCAGGGCCAAAAGAGGGTGGCACACCACCTTGGCTAGCTTGAGATAACCCCACCCAGTTTTCTATTGTGATTTCAGTTATAAGGTTTGAAAAGAAACCCTAGTTTGTTCATGCTATCGGCACCAATTTTGTGAGAGGATATTGCCCTAGGTGCTTCTCAGATTTAGAAGACTCAAACAGGGCCAAGGATTAGTGTGCCCCACCGGATGGTAATCAGGTATGGCTTGTGCTAAGTCCTATAGGGGTGTGGCAAAGTTCAGATAAGTCTTCCCAGCTTTTCTTGTTTATTTTCAAGGAACCTTCTATTTGTGGTTGGCATATATTATTAGAACTTAATATTGGTTTCTGACTAATTGTTGCTTCCCTTGGATCTTAGTCTATAGTGTGCAAGTTTGCTGCCTTCGTGCTAGTTTGATCATTTTGAACCCATGAATTTAACAGTAAGAGTATGGATTAGACGTCTATCGTGTGTTCTGCTTATGTGTGACTTCCCAGTCTATGAAGACGATCTTCTCATCTTCATCTGCTTTTCATTGTCTGTTGTCTATATGCTGATCCTGGCCTTTTGTGAACCCATTTTATTATATGTTTTTTGGGTAGTTCATCTGTATGATTTGATCTTGGGAGGTTATGTTCCAAGCTTTAACACCTTAGTAAATCAAACTCAAGCCCAAATCCTATGAACCCATTCTTATCATATGTTTCAGTTTCCAACTGTTTACTGCATTGTGTTTGTCATAGTCTTATAGATTTCAACGTATATTTGTTTGGCTGCTTTTCACTTCTTCCAGTCTTATTACCTGTGACAGCCATAGGATTCCAAGTTGAGGCACAGTGTTTCAATGGTCTACACCTTAAGCAATCAAGTCCATGCTGGTTTCCTAGGAACCCATTTTATATCATATGTTTTAGTTTCCAACCATTTGCTGCGTATTACTTATTTTACATTGCCTGTATGGTTTTGGGCTGTTTTCGCCACTTCTATAATGATTGCTGTGAGGTAACTATTAATTGATCAACATTATTTTTCTTGTATGCTGCTTTTTTAATTTATTGCTTTCTCCTTTGATTTTCTTGACTAATAAACTTATGCCTTCTTAAATTTTGTTGCTTGCAGTTGAATCTGATCATGGATCTTCTGAGTCTGATGAGGAGTTTCAAATTTGTGATATATGTGTTATGGAAGAGGTGCGTTATGTGGGTTTTGATTAATAGTAAGCATTATGGAGATATAATGCATTTACCTTATCATTTTTTTGGTCTATTGATGCAAACATGCTTTATGCTCAGGAAAAGAAGAAGTTGCTTCGTTGTTCATGCTGTGGGAAACTCTTTCATCCTAATTGTTTTGTTCCTCCTTTGCTGGATGTAGTCCCTGAGAATTGGTCATGTGTTTCTTGTAAGGAAGAAACTGATGAGTATGTACAAGCACGTCAGGCATATTTGGCAGAACTACACAAGAGGTGCAGCCCTACATGCATCTTAAGTGTTTGCTGTATTTCTTTTCTTTTTTTTCTCCTCCTTGTCATTTTTGATGATTTAATTACCTTTATATGGCCCTTATTTACTTCTTTATCCTTCGACTCTCATCAAGGATTCTGTTGGCTCAATGTTTAGGTATGAAGCTGCAATTGAGCGCAAATCGACAATTTTGGAGATTGTTCGTTCCATGGATCTTCCAAACAACCCCTTGGATGATATAATTGATCAGGTATCATCTATATCCTTGGTCAAGCTGTATTAGTAAGTGTCATAAGGTTAATTGTTGCTCTTTTATTTTATTTACATGTTAACAAAGATGCTTAAGTTCCTAGATCAATGAGAGATTCCAAGCACCTCTTTTTCTTTTCATTTTTTATAAGTCAACGGTTGAACATAGATGAAGTTATCAAGTTGTACCTGGGTGTACAATAAGAGAGTGATGTTGAAAATTGGAGGGGAGAGGAGAGGAAATGGAAGAAAGGGCCAAGAGAAATAAGAAAGCACAAGAGTTGATGGATTGTTTTCCATAATCTAGTATAATTTTAGGGCATTGTAATGTTCAGTTAGGGTTACTTGCTGAATGCATTCCTTTTGCAGTTGTTTTGGTTCTTATGTTATTTGATGTCAGACCAGTGATCGATTGTCCAAATAAGAATAGCCATACATGGGAGCCATACATGGGATCAATGCATTAGAGGCTACTCTTTGAATGTGTAGACGACCGGATTTTATTTTTAGTTGATTTTATTTTATTTTGTCTCTCTATGTTTCAATGTAATTAAGCTGTATTTGTGCATATGTCATTATCCAAACAATACGTGGTACAGAATACCTTTTCAGATTTGTCAAAAGAAAAAGGTTCCCATATCCAGACAAAGGAGTACATTAACTTCCCTGTTTGATTCATAAGACCATAGTAATTTGTGAAGATTTGTCTCTACAGTGTATTTTTGTTGCTACTCAAATGAATGAATTTGTTGAATTTCCCATTTGTGATGGATTCGTGTTTCGAACAATGGTAAACTGTCATGAATTCTGTCTCACTTGAGATGGAAGTTGATGAACAAAGTTAAAAGATAAGGTAATTGAGTGCTTTAACTTAATGACTATTCCTTTATGGGATTGACTAAGAAGACCATGAACCAAAAATAAAAACCAGACAGGTCACTTAAGTATGTTAAATTCCTCAATTGCTGTAATAGCTGGATGTAATGGTCCAGTGGTGCTATTCAATATGAGAAAAGTCCTTTACTTTTACTTAACCTAACACATCCAACTTTTGGTGATGTCATTTTTTGTAGAAGATAATTGATATTAGCAAAATACATTTGCTTGAAATTTTGGATCTTAGGTTCATGGAATGTTTTGAGTGAAGCCTATTTATGCAGATTTTGTCATGGCCGAGGTGCAGCCCCATACTTCCACCGTACGACACTTGTACCTAAGTCCATCAAGGACGAGTCAGCCTTCCCAACCACGAGCACAAGCGTGGACCAACCAAACCTGATAGGATAGCCAACACTAGTGCGTACCACCCACACACTAGCACAACCAAGATGAACACACAGTCGGTACTAGCACGAGAGAGAGGGACACACACGAATTGAATGGAAAGAGCTTGTATTCCACTAGAACTCAATAGTTACAGGTTTCTGAGGTGCTTTACAAATGAGGGGTCCTCCCTACACTAGACCTTACAGGCAACGATCAAGATTAATACACATGTCGTACACCCAATAGCTCGGATACTTCTAGCCTCTATAATATTCTAGACAATTCCTTCCAGCCCTTCCCTTAAGATAGATCTAGAAACCTCTAGACCCTCCATGAAGCCACTAGAGTTCTCTAGAATGTTTTTGGTGTGCGACAATTTTCTCTCTTAATACCTTTTGAAAAGAACATGAATCGAAGCCTCAAAATCACTGACTCATATGTGTAACTTGTGTGGCTAGAATATTGACTTGATGATAATTTGTCTAATTATATAAGAAAGACTTTCCTCTGGGTCCTTTCAGCAGTGTTGGTGCGTTGAGATGGTGTAGTATGAGATGAGAACCAGTTTTCCAATGTAGTAAATCTGTTGCTAATATTGATCTTACATTTGTTGTGGGAAACTTTTACCAAATGGGCTGTGGGGCTTCTGATTTCAACCAGTTAAATTAGGTGAACTGTGAAACTGGGGGTTTCCAAGGCTGAATGGGTGCATTGTCTTGCTTAGAATTGGTTGTGATTTTGATCTATGAACTATGGCTTGTGAGTTGGTTCTGGCTATTTGCTGTGGACTTCTCAATTTTTCTATCATGCTATACAGAGCTTGATGAAGTATTGTTTTATAGCGGGGTATACGCACTAATCAAATTTAAGCGAGTTCGTTTCTGTATTAGGCAATACATGGTTTTTATAGGTTGATAGGACAGTGATTATTTGGTTGAAGAGGACAATTATGTTGTCAAATTCTCAAGCTATATGCTGTACTGATCTATGACGTCTTTGTGTACTCTCCTTGATGTGGAGGATGATGATTTTTTTTCTCCAGCCCTTTGTGATAGTTTGAAGATGCTGAACACTAGCTGTTGCTTGAAGAACTCTGTAGTTTGCCTTGGTTTTGTAGTTTTCTTTATCATAAACTAGTGTACTCCTGAAGAAAAGACTGGTAACAAATTCTTCAACTCTGGCTATATGCAGCTCGGAGGTCCTGATAATGTTGCAGAGATGACAGGCAGACGTGGTATGCTAGTAAGGGCTTCAACAGGAAAAGGTGTTGTTTACCAGACACGAAACACGTGAGTGTTTGATGGACTTTTATTTGCTACGTCTTTGCTTTGCCTTCCATCTTATATCTTGGAGTGTAAGAATGGAGATCTCATTATTTTCCAGAAAGGAAATCGCAATGGAAATGGTGAACATGCACGAGAAGCAACTTTTCATGGATGGTAAAAAGTTGGTTGCAATAATATCTGAAGCTGGATCTGCTGGGGTCTCTTTGCAAGCAGATAGGCGAGCCATAAACCAAGTATGTACTCCTTTGTTGTTGTTACAGAATGCAATAATATTTCGTGTGAAGGATTCTGAGCAATATATGAACTCAATTCCTTCATTTTGTGATCCACCTTCAAATCCAATGTGGTATTTATTATCCCTTACATGTGTATAATCATCTTTTGTAATTTAACTATTCCAGAAAAGAAGGGTCCATCTGACACTTGAACTTCCTTGGAGTGCTGACCGAGCAATTCAACAGCTTGGAAGAACGCACCGGTCAAATCAAGCTTGTGCACCTGAATACAGGTTGTCCTTTATTCATTTTCCGGGTGGATTGAGTATATTTTAGTTTCTGATTGCAAAAGTTATTAGTCTTTCATTTTTATTTTCCTTTGTTTTTATTGTTTACTCTCTCTTGTATTTTAGGTAATATGTAAGATGTAAAGCCACATATACTCCCTTGAATTGTTTACCATAATGGTTTCTTTTGCTTTTCTTTAATGGTTGAGAATTTTTTGCGGGTGACCAAAATATCTAATAATGAATGAGATTCCATGAATTATTGTTCTCGTTGCTGATGTCTCCATTTATGATGGGGTTTGCCGTAGATTTCTGACATGACAACCTCCTGTCCGGAATTTGTTGCATGTATAATTTTCTGGTGTTCAATATGATTTATGAATATTTTTTCACTAATAACTATCAAATGATTTGCATTAGAATGGTATGAAGGTGGGAACTGTGGTTGTATACTTTTACACTGGTCTCTATGTCAAAATAATCTAAATGGAAATGTGGGCATCCATGCTAATTATATGACGATGTCACGCTAAACATTGGACATTTGCTTTATGAGTTGAAATCTGTGGACTGGAAAATGTGCCCTTTAGAAACAACACCAACTTCTCCATGTTGGCTAGAAGTCCTAGATTAGAAGTGATAACACGGTCTTCTAATCTCTTAAGCACTTACCAGGCAGCTGGTTGGTTCGCAAGTATCATGAATATTGTAGTTCATTATGACTTGGAATGACTGAAATGTTCATTTGGAGTATTCTTTATCACGTATGCTCCTGGATTTTTATTTGACTATTTGAATTAGTAGGTATTCTGATCTGATTCTGTAGATCTTACAGATGAGCTTATGACTTTCATGGATGCTGCTTCTGTATTCTCAAGTGTTCTCTCTAAATTTTTAAATTGTGTTACAGTTAGCAGTTAGAATAATTGCTTGCGGAATGTGTTATTTGTGGCTCGTGATTCTTGTTTTCTGCTCGAGTGTTTTCCTTGCTAGTGCATGGTAGTGTTTTTGCTCATGGATATTCAACTATATTGTTGTTGGGGTTTTGCTGCATTTCTGTGTGCGCAGATAGAGTTCACATCTGTATTCCATGGTTTCATCCTTTTCTCTTCCATGCTCAAGTATTTGTTAGTTTGATCTTGGCTTCTTTTATGAATTAGGAGAGGTCTTTTCTATTTTTTGGTACGGGGTCTTAAGCAAGCATAGGTTCAGTGGAACTCCCATTTCTTTCTGCTTTAGTACATGTTGGGGACTATTAAGCTCATCATCGTCATCATTAGAGCATTTTCCCAACTTATTGCTACACGAGTCCTAGTCTGCCATTCTGCTCTATAAAGGCCATACCCTTAGTGAGGCCGCAAGTCCACATATCTTTTCTCACTTATTCCAACCATGCCCATTTAGGCCTATCCCTTGTCTTTTTGTGAGCCTTCCACTTGAACTAACTCGCGCTTCCTAACAACTGACATATTGGGTCTGTACTGCCCATAGCCAGCCCACCTAAGTTTACTTTCTCTCATCTTATCGCCAATTGGTGCAACTCCTAAATTTTCCCGAATGTATTGATTTCTATTTCTATCCCTTCTTTCCTTGCCACTAATCGATCTCAACATCCTCATCTCAGCTACACTTATTCTATGGGTATATTGTTTCTTGACCGCCCAATATTCTGCCTCGTAAAACAAAGCTGGTCTCAGAGCTGTCTTATATAGGGGTGGCAACAGATCGGGTCGAGGCCGATCGGACCTGAACCTGAAAAATATTATGGGACCCGGACTCAGACCCGGCCCGACCTGACCCAATTGGTCCCGACCCAAAAAATTAAAATATATATGTATTTAACTATATTTAAATACATTTTGGAAATTGGAACTCAAAAAATATATTACCGGACCCCGACCCGGACTTGAATAGTGTTTGGGTTCAAGATTTGGACCTGAACCCGACCCTCCTGGGCCAAGATCGGGTATACTGTCTAGGTCCATTTTCTATAGAAGTTGCCCTTCAACTTCATTGGTATGAGGCATTCACATAACACTCTGGTTGCACATCTCTACTTCGCCCACCCAACTCTAATTCTATGTGCAACATCTTCCTCAATCTCTCCATTTTTCTGGATTATCGACCCAAGATATCGAAAGTTTTCCCTTTTTGGTATTCTTGATCGTCAATATTAAGTACTTTCTCGTCTCTACTCCTATTATTACTAAACTTGCATTTCATATACTCTATGTTAGTCCCGCTAATTTTAAAACCTTTAGATTCTAGAGGATCCCTCCAAAGTTCTAAATTTGTGTTGACATCGTTTTGGGTCTAGTTGATCAAAATTTTGTCATCCGCGAATAACATACAACGCGGTACCTCTTCTTATAGGTGCCTATTTAAGTCGTTCATAACTAAAACAAATAGATATGGGCTCAATCAGTATTTTAAAATGTGGGATGCGGCCAAAAGCGTTGGGAGGGGGGAGGCAATGCGGCTTGATGCTGTCCGGATGCGGGTGCATCACCGTGATGGGGTTAATAAATAAAACAAATTCTAAAAAATCTAAAAAAATAGGTTAATGCATAGGAAAAATATGGAGGTGATATATGTGATGGTAGGTATTTAGTTTATTCATTAACTCGAAAAGTCTCAACTGTCGGAGATTCTGTATCCACTATCCCTTGATAGAAACCAGAAACTGGAAACTTGCTTCATAAAACATTCAACAATCAACTACCATAAGCACAAATCTGCAAACACATACTTTAAAGTTACAAAATACTACAAACTAAAAGTCCATGAAGATTAAAGAGTTTAAAAGTCAAGCGCAAGAAGAATAAATACAATCATCATCATTTCTCAAGTTTTAAGAGTGAGAGTCTAAATCAACAACCAAGCATCAATAAATGCACAAATCGAAGAACTTCAACAAATAAAATTTCTGCCCAAATTTTTTTTTTATTCAATCTTATCTAATAAAAGCCACGGATGTGGCTGAAAAGTGATGTTTGGAGGGTTTAATACCCCTCCAAACCCTTTCCCCCCATTTTCGAGGGTCATAATGACCTTATTACCCCTGCTTGAGGGGTTCAATTTCCAAAAAAATTGTAGACAGATTATGCGGCCTGATGCGCTCAATGTGGGGTGTGGCTTTGATGCGAAGAAATGCGGTGGATATGCAGGCGCATCTCTCCAAACCGCATATGTGGGCATGTGTGAACGCCCTGATGCCGCTACATATGCGGCGATGTGGCCTCATTTTAAAATACTGAGCTCAATGTTGACCCTTGATGTAGACGTAATGTCAATAAAAACTCACTCGTCTCTCCACTAGTTGTTCATACACTAGTTAGTGCTCTCTCGTATGTATCTCTCACCAAGTCGATGTAGTGTATGGTGCTTTCTTTCTTTTTCGGCACCCACCAAAACAAATCTCGAGGTACTCTATCATAAACTTTCTTTAGATCAATAAATATCATGTGGAGATCTTTTTCCTTCACCTTAAACTTCTCAATTAGTTACCTAAGTGGGAAAATAGACAGTTGTTGACGTCCTTGGCATAAATCGAATTGGTTTTTTGATGCACTCATCTCATGCCTTAGTCGTTGTTCAATCACTCTTTCCCACAACTTCATAGTATAGCTTAGAAGTTTGATGCTTCGGTAGTTTGTACAATTCAGTGTCTCATTTGTTCTTGTAAATAGGTACCACAATACTTTTCCTCTATTCATTTGGCATTTTCGTTGTTCTCAACACCTTGTTGAACAGCTTGGTCAGTCAATCAGTGCTAATCTCCCCCATGCACTTCCAAACCTCTATCGGGATGCCATCTGGCCTTAAAGCCTTTTCTATCTTCATATTCTTCAAAACTTCTCTCATTTACAATATCCTAAACCTACGAATGTATCTATGACCTCCACCCACATTTATGCCAACAGTTCCTTCTACCGCTATATTCTGATTTTGTACGTTATTAAACTACTTTTCCATTATAACATAAGCACAATAGTAGTCCATTATTGTTTTCTTGGAGCCTCTGTCTAGTTTGCTCTCGTTAAACCAACTTCCTCTGTTTTGTGCAACTTCCCCTTACTAGCATAGGACAGACTGCTCTCTTGGCTGTGGGAGGCATTTACACTCTGCCATTATATTTAAACTCGACCTCGGGCATGGAATTGGGCAGGGCCTAAGTCTGAGTCAGTAGTTAGACTTGGCTGAGTCTGAGTCTAAATCAGCCAAGTCTTTAGAAGAATAAGACAATAACTTAGAGTCTCAACAGGACCTAGGTTGGGTATGCTTCCTAAGGCCACTATGTAGCACCACCCTACAACAACCTAGTTTGGGCATGCTTCCTTCCTTAGCCCTAGTGTTTGCGTGCCACCCTAGGAATCCTTGGGTGGTGCTGCGATCTTCCAAGGAAGAGAGATGAGAGAGAAACTAGAGAGAGATATGAGGCATGGAGAGGAGTGAGAAGAGAGAGGGGCTAGAAAATTGAATGAATGAAATAACGGGTAAGCCCCCTTATTTATAGTTTTTTTAAGAGGTTTAATGTATGCTTTTCTTAATTAGAATCCAATTTGACCAATGGGATCCCTTGCAATATGTGAGGTGAGAGAGAAAACAGATATGAGACGCGCATCCAAAAAATTAGCCATGATGATTAGGGAGGAATTTTAGGAACTTATCCTCTGAATCTTTAACCCATATCCACTTTTAGTCAAACTAGGATAAGTCTTGATTAAAGGACTCTTAATACAATTAAAACTTCTGTTTTAAGTGGAATTCTGATCTATGTTGGAATCCTAGTCCAAGTAGGAATCTTAACCCAAATAGGACTCTTATTACAGCTAGGGCTTCTAAAATAAAAAATTAAGTATTTAAATTTAATTAAGGGCACAAGTGCCGCAATCCCTGCCCCTATTGGGCCTTCCCACATGGATCCCACTTAAAACAGGCCCTACTAATTTGTAAAATATTAATTTTGCCATTTTAAGGTTGTTATAGCAATTTTTTTTTAACATTCTAAAATTTCTAAAATGCACAAAATCATAATCACAGCTGAAAAACAATGTTTCTGAGTTTCTTAAAAAATTCTAAAAAACTAAGAAATGCATTTAAAAGTGGATTGGTATGGATCAAGATAAGTGACTCAGGGTACTCCACCCATGCCAGAAACCGTGACTCACAATTATCTTTTTCTAGCCAACTGAATGGGACCCATGACACACAATCATGCACATGGGCTCATGATTGGCCCATCAAAGCTGGCCAATAAATAATGGAACCACGATTCCAGTAATGTTCATTACCAGTTACCCTGCTAAGAGCAAGTCAGGTGCATGTAGCATGTATTACTATGGTGCAAGGGAGCCTCTCTCTATGCACATGTATACGCATCCCTCTACATGGTTGCTTCCTAGAATGCGGTTATATATGTACATGTTGTGCGGGAGCTTGTTGAGGATTTGACCCTTGCTCTCATAGGCCTACAACCGCACATAGGAGACCACGAACCTCTCCTGGCCTACAAACGATCTCCGGGCATATCTTCGACTTCAACAAGGGATGGTCCTCTTGAAACTTTGAGGGTAATGCCTTTGCTCAGAGGAAAAAGAGTTTTGTACGTGATTCGGGTCGTAGACAGTCGAAACTTTAGTCGGTCAATCAGTATACACTCCCACTGAAGTGCATGCTTCACTATCTTTATTGTATTTACATAATTAAAGGCCATAAACTCCAACACAGGTCCCCTACATAAATATTTTCTTGAATGATCCTTGTTCTGCATTAGATTTTGTCCATATTAGAACTTTTTGACTTGTTAGAATAGTCTTGGTGCATATTTGTGATCAAACGAAGAGATGCGATCATATGTTTTAGTGTTTTGTGTCCCAAATGTAAGAATTTTTCAGTCAGAAAAGGAGGAATCTCTCTGTACAGATGGCTTCTACATTTTATGTAATTGTTGGGCTTCCTGCGCTGCAGCCTTGTCCTGTAAACAGTGCACCAGATACTGAATATTCCTCTTCAGCATACAATGGCTAGTCAATGGCGTGCTCTAAGCTTTAACATGCAGCACGTAATGGAGCTGCTTGGCTTGTTAACAGTTGCGATCGCAACATACTGCTTGATTCTTTAGAATCTTTCTCCATTAGTTATTCCTTGTTGCGAATATCAGTTCGGATTGAGTCCTGGATTGTAGTTCTCTACCAGTAGTTCAAAGATGTCTTGTACCTACTGCTGATGATCTGGTTTTTCAATTTGATTTTTTTCACTGGACCAAGAATAGTTTTCCTGACTTGAGGGCCAAGCCCTTCATATACTTTAAATTGTTTTTTCATCTCAATCAATTTGAGCTTTATAGGGGAAGGGGGGAAAGAAAATGGTTGCCATATTGCGATCTTCGATTGATTCGTCCAATGGTTTGCTGGATATAATCATCTAAGCATATTTTTAGTGCAGTCTGCTTGAAAACTGAGTTTGAAAATTTGTAAGGTTCTGAATTATGTCAATGACAGGCTTCTTATCACAAATTTAGGAGGTGAACGGCGTTTTGCATCTATTGTGGCTAAGAGATTAGAGACTCTTGGAGCTCTAACACAAGGGGATCGCAGGTGAGTTTCTAACGTGAATTGCTGATGTTGTGCACAACTTAATTATTAGCAGGTCTTTTATGGACTCATTTGAAATGACTTTCTTTCGTTATTGGCTGAGTAGGCAAATGGAATTTTTACAGGGCAGGGCCGTCGTTGAGTGCATTCAATTATGACAGCAACTTTGGTAAAAGGGCTCTTAGTATGCTATATAAGGCTATAATGGAGCAGGTATGTGTTTTGATTGCTGAGTATGTGCTTATATTGAGATCAGTTTATTCCTTTTTGAAACTCCATTTGAATCGGTTGATTTTGTCGCAGACTGAGCTGCCTGTTGTACCACCAGGCTGTTTGCGTGAAAAGCCAGAGGCAGTCAGAGAGTTCCTTACCCAGGCAAAAGCTGCTCTAGTATCGGTGGGAATAATCAGGGATTCGGTACTTGGTAAACAAATCAGCAGTTCCATTATAATTTTTTTGACAGTTAGATGCATTTAATTATGAGTATGGAAACTTGGATTAAATTTTGATGTTTGTATTCTGGCCCTTTCTCTACTGAACTATCAATGATTGAGGATGAACCCACTTACATCACATGTTAAGGACATATTTTTACTGGATTAATGGTAATTGCAAAATAGTTGTTGTTCAGTCTACGGTTTTAATTTTAGGTCCTTTGTTGGGGGGATTTCTTACTTGCTTCATTGTTGGCAAATAATAGTCAATGGGAAAGACAATGGAAGGATCACAGGGCGCATTGTTGATTCTGACATGCATGACGTGGGGCGGTTTCTTAATCGGCTTCTTGGATTGCCTCCTGACATCCAGAATAGGTATGTACACTGCACATTTACAGGTTGGAGATTTCGTGCATATAAAATTAGAAAGTTTCAGTAGTGTGGGAAAGTTACACCAAAAGTAACAGGAATGTTGGCTATACAGGCTTTTTGAATTCTTTACCAGCATTCTTGACCTTTTGATTCAAGATGCTCGTAAAGAAGGACAGTTGGACTCAGGAATTGTTGATATCAAAGCAAATGTTATCGAAATGCAAGGATCACCAAAAGTAAGTTGTTTTTGTAATTTTGTAGTGATTAGAGCTGTTGTTACCTCTTTATAGGATCTCAGAACAAAAGCAAGGTAGCTACATAGGAGATTTTGTTTACATGTATGTAGTTGTCAAAGCTTATTCACATTATCTATGTGCTTTGCAGACAGTTCATGTGGATCCTACTTCTGGTGCATCTACTGTGCTATTGACATTTACTGTTGATCGTGGGATCACTTGGGAGGTGAGTCTATTCTTCTTCAACTATTATACACCCAAATCCTATTTATTGATCATATTAGGATGTGCTTCCAAACTTATCCCTGACTGGCATTCTATAGGCTGCAAGTGACCTACTTGAATGTAACAAGAAGGATGGGGTTGGCCATCAGAATGATGGATTTTACGAGTCCAAGAGGGAATGGATGGGAAGAAGACACTATCTACTAGCATTTGAATGGTATAATTTCATATTTACTTTCTGTTATCAGTCAAATATTTGCATATCTGCATGCTCCAGGAACTTTGCAGCACCGTATAGCTTTAGGTTTACATGTCTCTTATTGTAGCTTGTTGCATTAATATAATATGTGCCATTATTTTTGTTTTGATGTTACATACTGGACATTTGCAATGCTATTACAATCTATCAGGTGTAGGATTCTAATCATGGTTTACAAATACTGCTCTCAGGCATAGGATTCTTCCATTGCTGGTTCTCTTCTAAACAATAACCACGTATCATTAGCCTGTTGTTGTTGTTGGCAACCTATTGTCGCCTACCATCCCTAGGATTCTAATAAATTCTTACTAGCCTTCACTACATCCTTATGTATCTTTCCAGACAAATTATCTAATTATATCTGCATGCTTCAATTCTTACCCTTTCTAATGCATTAGATGAAAACATCTGCTTAAGGGGTTCCTTCTACCTAACATGGTTCTTCAATCTAAGAAAGGAAAGGAAAAAAAATGTAATTCTCATTATAACAAAGTTCAATCAATTTCCCTTCATGCATAACTTTTATTGGGTTTGACTTCACACACGTGTGACATAACACAAGTTGTGGAATTTTTGGGATGTTAGTATTATTAGCCAAAATCATTTCCATCTGTCATATCTTTCACCATTAAATTCATTCAATGAACTTCATAAGGGGTCCAACAAAATATTTCTCATGAACTGATTTTATACTTGCAGCCATGTAATCAGTGGCATCACTGGTTGTAAATGACATTCGTTGGATTTACAAACTATATAGATCTCATCATAACTAAAGCAGTACCAAAAGTAGCCATTAATGTTGTAGAAATGATCTACTACAATCTTCTGTTTATCTATTGCTTGTGTTGATTGTTGTAAATTGAACCATTTCTCTTCCTACAATTACTTATTTAGGAATCTTTTTCATTCTCTGAATTGTATTCATGAAAACATTAATGTCGATCTCCTCTTTTGTCGATCTCCTCTTTTGCAGTAATAGATCTTCCCCAAGAATGTTTAAGGTGTTCCGACCTGCAAGTGGGGAAGCGTTAAGGTATTTTGAAAGTTTGTTTTATTCCATGTCTCTCAATTTAGCGAAGTAGATGTTCCTCCTGGCTATTGTTACTAGTAAGTTTATATTCGCTAGATTGTCCTCCTGGCTATCATGACTAGTTAAGTTTATATCTCATCATCATTATTCCTTTAGGGAAATGCCTTTCCCAGAGCTCCAGAGTAAGTATCGACTGTTATCGTCACTTGAGAAGGCCTGTAAAGGCTGGAATGAAGAATATGAGGCCTCATCAAAGCAGGTAAATAAATTCATGTATTGTTTTTCTCAGGTTGGCTTATTAGCTGAATGGTAATCTCCTCTATGAAAGAAATAAGCGGCCTGTAGTTAAACTTACCTTATTTTTTGTTAAATGGAGCATATTGAGTATATGTATGTGCATCTTTTTCTCTCCATTTAAGCATACAAATGCATATTTGTTGGAGAATCAGTGTTTGACAACAAATTAGTTGGTTTTGTGCCACTTCGTTTTTTGTGTTACAACTCCATTATTTGCTTGGTATTTATCCAATATGCACTTAACTTGTGGAAGGTTATTATAGGAAAATGGCTGTCATGAAATTTTAGTATTCCAATGTGAATATCAAATTAATTGTTCCTATAATCTTATCTGTCCAACAATTTGTTCGTAATGATTTGAGCGCATTTGAATTGAGTTGAAACAATTTCTTGGTAAAATGATAGGCATGACATGTTATTTGGTCACTGTGAACATGCCCAATATATCTTTCAAGCTTTTCTGCTGAATGATTTGGTTATCAATGGAAGTGGCCGTGGTCAGATCTCGTATGCAGCAAGGCAATAAAGAAGCTCTACTTGCAATACCTTTTTGCAGAGCTTTAGGGGGAAGTATCATGTATACGTAAACAATTTCGAGTACCTCATAGATGTGATTTTGTCATGCCCATGTGAACTACGTAGTTGCAAATGAACTCCGTGACCGGTTGAGCTCGAATTGTCAAAGTTAAATTTTCTGACCTTAAGATGCCTCGATATGTATATGGATGTGGATTCTGATACAAAAG